ATATAGAAATTTTTAAATTTAAAATATATATGTATATATAATTAAAGAATTAGGCAAATTTATTTTATTAAATTAAAATTTTAATTTACTTGTTTAACAAAAACATGGTTTTTTGATCATTTAAAATTATTTCTGCTCAGTGATTTTTAAATAGCCGCAGTATATTGACTGTGCAAAGGTAGCATAATCAATTGTTTTTTAAATGAAAACTGGAATGAAGGAATTGATGAAATTAAAGCTGTTTCAATTTGTAGATTTAAAATTTAAATTTTAAGTTAAAATTCTTAAAAGAAATTATGGGATGAGAAAACCCTATTGAATTTAATATAATTTTTAAATTTATTTAAGGAAATAAATTTTATTTTAATGATTATATTTTATTGGGAGGATAATTAAATAAAATAAACTTTAATTTAAAGATAATTTTAACATTAATTAATGAAATTTTTATAAAGGATTGATTATTAAATTAAGAAATTTTTTTTTTTTATAATAATTATTATAAAAATTAATTACCTTAGGGATAACAGCGTAATATTTTTAGAAAGATTATATTAATAAAAATGATTGCGACCTTGATGTTGAATTAAAATAAAAATTAAATGAAGAAGTTTAATATTTTAGTCTGTTCGACTAATAAAATTTTACATGATTTGAGTTCAGATCGGTGTAAGCCAGATCGGTTTCTATCTATAATAAAATTAAGAAAATTTTGTACGAAAGGACTTTTTTTCAAATTATATTTTTTTTAATGAATAAATTTAATTGATTAAATATATGTAAATAAATAAAATTACTTTGGCAGAATTTAAGTGTATTAAATTTAGAATTTAAATGATGTATAATAGAAAAAAATTATACAAGTAATAATTTGTCAAAATTTAAGATTATATTTTTATAGTGCGTTAAATATATTAAGATTGTTAATTTTGTTATTAATTATATTAGTTGGGGTAGCTTTTTTAACTTTATTGGAACAAAAAATTTTAAGATATGTACAAATTCGTAAAGAACCTAATAAAGTGGGATTTATAAGATTATTTCAATCTTTTAGTGATGCTATTAAATTACTTAATAAAGAATTATTTTATGTATATAAATCTAATTATAATTTTTTTATGTCCTATAATTAGATTTGTTTTAATAATAATATGATTAGTATTTCCTTACATTACTAATATTTATTTTTTAAATTATTCTATTTTATTAATAATTGTTTTATAACTATTAGAGGGTATGTTATAATTTTTATGGGATGATCAGCTAATTCGATTTATTCAAAAATAGGGGCAATACGATCAGTTTCACAAATATTATCATTTAAAGTAAGATTTATTTTAATTGTTTTAGTTATTATATTAATAAGAGAGAGATATTCTTTTTTTGATTTTATTAATTATCAATTTTATTTATGATATATAGTAGTTTTATATCCTTTGTTTATTATATTTTTTATTAGGATTTTAGCTAAATTAAATCGAAGTCCTATAGATTTTATCGAAGGTGAGTCAGAATTAGTTTCAGGGTTTAATATTGAATATTTTAGGGGTGGGTTTACATTAATTTTTTTATCTGAATATCGAATAATTATTTTTTTTAGATTAATTAGAATTTATATATTTAGAAATTTATTAAAATATTCAATAATTTTAACTTTTATTTTAATTAATATTTTATGTAGAATAGTAATTTTTATACATGGCCCAAACAGCACAAGATATCCTCAGGATGATCCTGAATATATCCTAAATATCCTCGGATATATGTGGGATATATTTAGGATATATACAAATCCAAACACCTGAGGATGTTTTTTGGATCTCTTAAGGATGTCCTGCGTGGCTATGTATGAAGCACTTTAAGGATATTCTTTTGTGTTTTTTATTTTTTTTCAGAAATAAAAGAAATAGCAAATAAGAAATCTTCACAATTAATCGCCAGTGATAAATTTTAACAAATATAATAAGATGCAATTTAATTCGACCAAAAACTGGCTATTCATTTATTGAAAATATAAGATATATATATATATATACACACACATATAGTGTGTACTTATTATTTCAATAAATGAATAGCCAGTTTTGGTCGAATTAAATTGCATCTTATTATTTAGCAAGTAAGAGCCTTAAAATGCATTTATAGCAACATTTTTATAAGAAATATTTAATTTAAAAATCTTAAGAATGTCAATAGAAAACTTTTCGTAATCCTTGGAACGTCCACCATACATCCTAAATTAATTCAAAATACGTAATTGAGGTATTATATATGCTATTTGAAGGATTAATTTAGGTTATATCTAAGAGCACAAATGTTTGAAAGACGTTCAGAGGACATCCACAGGATGTTAAACATCCTCTAGACGTCCTATGGACATCTTTTGCACATGTGAGCCATTAAGGATCCAGCATACTTTTTCAATATTATTTTAAGACAAATTAAAAAATTTTATATAAATTTTGTTGAAAAATATTGACACGTTAATTGGTTTACCGTGCCGCTTTTTAGCGAACGGTATTAAAGCCGATCACATATATTATGTAGGAATCTAGATGAGTACGCATGCGCGTATGCGCACCATTATGCGCGCAATTACAGAAAGTGCCTGATGTGTGTCTGTTTAACTTTCCCGCCTTGAAAGAAGAAGAAGAAGAAGAAAAAGCTTTCTCGCCGGCTTCTTCGCATCCACTTTGTGTCTTGTGTGTGATTTGAATAGTGTTTACATCATTTCCAAGATATCAAGAAAATACCAAGAAAAATCGAAGGGTAAAATTATTATACCATTTTATACGTACTTTTTACGTAAAAATAACTTTTGAGGTTATGCAACGCGGTAATAATAAAAAAACCTTTGATATGAATTCTTCGACACAACGTAAAATTCGCAAATTAGAGAGTGATATGATTAGTAAGGCTTTAAATGATGGACCATCAACATATAATAATGTATCTAATGTGCCACCTAATGTATCAACGTTTGAAATAATTACAAATGATTCGCATGCATCAATAACTTTTAGTCAAGATAAGATAGATGCAGATTTATCAAATGAAATTAATGATTTTGATCAATCAAGTCCGCCTTTAAGTAGTGAAGAAGAAAATAATGAAGTTTTATTTGAGCAACAAGAGTTTTCGAGTAATGAAGAAATTGATGATGACAATGATAATGAAAAAATTGATTTTAAAACATTTCTAGCTAGTTGGGCAGTTGAAGAAAATATTTCACAAGCATCTTTACGTACTCTTATAAAAGGCATAAAACAGTATACTTGTAATAAATGTCATTGTGATATACCGTCTGATCCTAGGGCACTTTTGCATACTCCCAGAAGTGTTAATATTAGAAATTGTGCTGATGGGGAATATTGCCATTTTAGTTTATTAAAATCAGTAAAAAAATTTGTATCTGTCTCAGGAAATGTTACTAATATAAAAATAAATATAAATATAGATGGATTGCCATTATCAAAGTCATCGCATCAACAACTATGGCCAATTTTAGGTTCTATAGGGCAATCAAAGCAAGTTTTTATTATCGGAGCATACTATAGTACACAGAAACCTTCTAATTCAGATGATTTTTTAAGAGAATTTATAGAAGAAACACAATTATTGTGTCGTGATGGAATCATTATTAATAATAAACATGTTCATTGCAATATAGATTCTATAATATGTGATACTCCTGCAAAAGCATTCATATTACAAGTTAAAGGACATACTGGTTATTCTAGCTGCACCAAATGTAAAACTGAAGGCACTTTTCGCAATAATAAAGTTTGCTTCCCTCAAATAGATGCTCCATTGAGAACAGATTTAGAATTTAGAACAAAGACAGATGAAAATTTTCATATTGGGACATCAATTATTGAAAATATTCCAAATCTTGATCTTGTAAATAATATACCCTTAGATTATATGCATTTAGTTTGTTTAGGAGTAACACGGCGATTACTATATTTATGGTTATTTGGCAATAATAAACAATTTCGTTTAGAAAGTAGAAAATGTAAAAACATATCATCAAATTTAGAAACTATATTAAAAATACATGTCCCATGTGAGTTTGCACGAAAACCTCGATCATTGACTTTCATAAAACTTTGGAAAGCTACAGAATATCGAGAATTCCTTTTGTACACAGGACCTGTAGCTCTGAAAAATATTCTTCGTAGTGACATATATGATCATTTCATAACATTACATGTAGCTATTAGAATATTATGTTCCACAGAAGTACATGACTTATTGGATTATTGTCAAAAGCTATTAGAACATTTTGTTACATCATTTGCATTAATTTATGGAAGTCATAATATCTCTTTTAATGTACATGGTCTAATTCATCTTGTACAAGATGTAAAGAAATTTGGCTCATTAGACAATTTTAGTGCATTTAAATATGAAAATTTTTTACAAACATTAAAAAAATTATTACGAAAGCATGACAAACCACTACAACAAATTTGCCGGAGATATATTGAATATGAAAACAACAAAATAGAAGAGAATCTTACAACAAAAGAAATTGAAAATTTTACAATAGATTTGAAATCCATGCATTCATCTGGGCCATTAATACATGCTTGCGGTAATCCACAGTACAAAATAATTAGAAAAGCAAATATGATTTTACGTACTGATGTAATAGCTGATAATTGTTGTTCATTGGTTGATGGAACTATTATATTAATAAAAAATATAGTACACAATAAAGATCTCAATACAAATGTAATTATAGGTCAAAAATTTTTACACAAGCAAGATTTTTATAACACTCCATGTCCTTCTTCATTATTAAAAATATTTAGTGTGCACGGTTTAAGTGAATTAGAAATGTGGCCGATAGAAAATATTTATATTAAATATGTTAAATTACCGTTATCAGAAAATAAATATGTAGTATTTCCAATGTTGCATTCATAAATAGAATTAAAAAAATATGTATAATAGTAATTTTTTTAACTTTTAATTTTTTTAGTTTCTATATTGGTTCAATAAATTAATTTTATTCCAATTCGTTTTTTTAATTTAGCAGGATTTTTGCTAGAAATATTATGTCATTTGCATATGTCAAAAGACCAAATCTTTTATCTTTTTATTACCACACTTTCTCTGCTTCTCTTCTCAATTTTTGTTCTAGAGATTTTCCATATACAGTTTGAATAGTATTGGGTTCAGAAAGGATCTTTTATGTATTTTCGTTAATTTAGTTACAATGGATGACCAATATGCTATAGTAGAATTTAACGATGGGCTGCAAATGATACCTTCTTCTTGGTTAACTAAAGACAAGAAACAGGCATATTGGCCTACTTTTACATCAACTGAACGATTTTCCAAAGCTGTACAAAAATGTATACCCAAAATGGACTCTTGGCCGCTGTATGAAGTTAAGAGAATTTTAGCAACTGCAAGTAAGTAATAAATACATAAAAAAATAACATTAATGTAGAGTCATTTGCGTTTTTATTTTATTATTTATTCGATAATCTTTAATACAAAATAATAGAATAAATATATATAGAATGCTATAAGCTGTAAATAAAAAATGTTTAAAAAATTATTTATATTTTTAGGAAATAAAATTTTATTTTTAAATAAAAATTTGTTTGTTTCAAAATTTGTTTTTTATCAAATAATTTTTATTGTTTTATTTTTCAGATAAATACGAAACAGGAATGATTAAACTAAAAAAAGCAGAATTTATATCAGATATAAATTCTGAAAGTGATGATGAAACATCAAAAAGAAATAGAAAATATAGAGCAAAAACCGTTCTTAGTAGCGATGAAATAAGTTCAAATGAAGAAGAAAATATTGTCAAAGTACCATCTTATCCAAAAGTGCCATCTTCAAAAGTACAAAAGAAAAATAATAATATGGAATCAAATAAAAATCCAGTAAATAAAATATTTAAAAGTTCGTACAAAAATTTTTTATATTGTGAAGTAATATAGAAAATTATAATATGTATATTGCAATATATTATAGATTATATATGTATATATATATATATATATATATATATATATAATATTACAATTTAATTTTTAATGTATATTTTTATTTTAATTTATTTTATATTTATTTTTATATTATTTTATATTTATTTAATTTATATTATATTTTTAATTTATATTTTTATTTTACAGGCAAAGATGTATTAAAACAGATAGAAAATGAAAATATTAATCTATCAACAACTACACCTTCAAAGAAAAGTATAGAAACAAATATACATTTAAAGAAAACAAGTGTAGAAAGACACGATTCAATTAATAACACAGGTAATTAATTTATATTTATGCTAATATATGAACTGTTTTCTTTGAAAGTATATATATAAGTATATTTATTGTTTTAAGATATTTAAAAGATTTACATTAGTCTGTAATTGAAAAAAACTTTTACTTTTTATTTTTAAAATTATACTTATTTCCAATTTTGAAACTATTTTCAAAAAAGAAAAAGACTCATATATTTTATTTTACATTTATAAAGAAATTAATATATATGTAATTTTTATTTATACACAACATGTCGTACTAGCATCATATTTTTACTTTAAAGTTATAGACAAAATATATTGGAAAAAAATAAATATGAAAATTACAAAAATTATTACATGTGCATGCATTAATTATCTGTATTATTATTCAGTTAAGTATAATGGAATTACAATTGTATTTAACTCAATAATAATAATGTAGATAATCGATACAAGTACATGTAATAATTTTATTTTTTATATTATTTAATGGTTTTAAATTTAATTTAAATATTTCACAATTTTTTGTTTTCTTATTGTTATAGAACATGATTTCAATCATAATATAAAAAGTGCACACGACCCTCAAGCTTATTTTAAAACTGATTCTGTTAATACTTGTAAGTACTAGATTATGTTATAATTTACAAATTTACATACATGTATTTTATTATTTTACAATGTTTTAATTTACAGCAATAACACAGTTTGAACGATATATTATTCGAAAGCTATTAGATATAGAGCATAAAATTTCATCAATACAGGAACAACAAAGAAATATTAATACTAAAGTAGATTATATTCAAAATCAAATTCAAACATTTGGGTTAGATGATAAAACAAAGAAAAAAGATGTTGAATCAGACTACATGGAACTCTTTCCTGTAGAAACATTAGAAAAATTACAAGAATTAGAACAACTATTAATTAATGACAAGATTAATCGTAAAGCATTAGTATGTATTTAAACAATAAACTATTATAACAATGTAAAAATTAAAAATACTTAATTTTATTAATTTTATTCAGATGAAACAACTGGCACGAATTGGTGGGACAGACATTAAGTCAATAACATTTAACATATTACGACGAATTATGAGCGATTCAGTCGGAAGTATGTTCAGTTATGTTGGAGGAAAAAAAAAGTATCCATTCTTTGATTTATATCTCCGAAAAATTATATTTGGTAAATATAAATTTAAAATATTATATATTTAATTGATAATTATTTATCTCTCAATAATGACTATATAGCAAAATAAAAATTATTTATGTAATATTCTTATATACAAGAAATCTATAATAAATTCAATTATTTTTTTTAGCTTTTTTTAATTACGTGACTTCCTAATTGCTATATATTGCTTTATTATTGTTTTGAGCTTCTATTCTTAACTCAATAATGTTATTTTGTTTTTAGCTTAATACCTTATTTTTTTGTAAATATTTATTATATGTTAATGTATATTTTATTTTAGGTGCAGTAAGAATTTACTTTCCGGAAGCTACTGAACAAAATATTTCACAGCCCATCAAATCTTGGTTGAGACATGCAAACGAACGTAGTAATAAGAAAAGTATGTTGCTTTTTTGTTTTTATAAATTTTATATTATAAATTAAAATAATATGTTTATGAGTAATAAAGTTTTAAAAAAGTTAATATAATTTTAATATTATTTTAAGCTTAAATAAGTCAAAGAAATCTTTGATGCAAGAAGATGAAAACCAATCTAATATGGAACAGCATGCAGATAGACGTCCACAAAAAGAAAAGTATGTAATATATTAATATAAATACAATTTTTGTGTGAAATTTTACTAATTTTATTAATCTAATAAAAAATCTTGTAGCATGGATAAGAGAGCAGAATCTGTTGCAAGGGTCTGTTTGCAAGAAGACAACCAAGAAGCAGATGATGATGATGGTGATGAAACGACTTTAGACGACTTAATTGGCCCTAATCTCTTTTAAATAATATGTATAGGCTCCGAAGTTAATCACTTACCATGTGCAAAAAAACTTTTCTATTTGGTTTAAGTATTATTTTTAGTTAAAATCTACTCATCTATGTACACATGATGGATGTTGTCTACTTAATGTAGTTTTTCTTTTCATTATATATTTTTTATTTTCAAATTTAAAGAATTTTTCAAATTCGAATTTTTTCATATATATAAGTATATACATATATATATATATATATATATATATATATATATATATATAATATATATAATTTTTTGTTTTCATTCATGTGCAATAAATTTGTAATATGCAATAATATGCAATAATATTAATAAAAATTTGTATACATATATATGTATAATATGTGTAAAAAATTTTTTAATTTATCCTGAAATAGTCCTGAAAAAATATGCATATAACCTAAATTAATCCTAGAAATAGCATATAAAGCACCGCAATGATGTATCCTGGACTAATTTAGGATGTATTGTAGACCTTTTAAGGATTATAAGAATTCCTATGAACATCCTACAAATATCTTTAGGAAGTTGAAATAGAATCTCCTGAGGATACTTCTAAGCATTATTGAGGCGCTCATTTGCTATTCCTTAGGACATCCTAAGAACGTACCAGGATTACAAACAGACGTCCTCAGGATATGTCATATATCCCAATAAAGTATCCTTAGGAGATCCAAAAGGCATCGGAATACTTCCTCGAATACGATATGATGAATTAATATATTTATGTTGGAAAATTATTTTACCAATAATTTTAGTTTATATTTTATTAATTTTTGGATTTAAATTTATATTATAAATAATAATTTAGTAAAAAGAATTAAATGTTTAAAAGTTAATAAAAAATTAAAATTTCTTTAATATGTTTTCAAAACATAAACTTAAATTCAAGATCATTACCTTAATTTAATAGTAATTTATAAAAAATTTAAGTATTAAATATAATTATTTTTAATATTTTAAATTTATTTATAATGATAAATTTTTTAATATTTATTTAAAAATAATTAAATCTCAAATTTTTATTAGGAAAGGTAATAAGATAAAATAAAGAAAGTAACATAATGATAAAATTTGTCTAATAATGATAAAAGGTATTTCAATAGGTTGAGCTCCTGCTCATGTTAATAGAATAAAAATATTAATGAAAATTCAAAATAAATATTGATTTAAAGGATAAAATGATAATGAATTAAATTTTATAGAAATTAGAGGTAAAAAGTATAAGATAATAATTGATGATAATAATGCAATTACACTTCCTAATTTGTTAGGGATAGATCGGAGGATAGCATAAGCATATAGAAAATATCATTCAGGTTGAATATGAATTGAAAATGTATTTTATAAATAAATGAAATATTATATATATATATAATATATAAGTTTATATATATATATATATATATATATATATATACACAGATATGACAACCGTTATCTTGATTTTTTCCGATTATTGATGTTACATTGTATAACTCTCATTTCTTTCTCTCTGCTACATAATAACTTATGACGTGAAAGAACTTACGAGTAACGTATGATGGCTCAATGCAAGAATATTTAATCACGTAAAAAACTTGAGTTCAAATATATCAATATCAATTTTTTTATAATATATTGGAATATGAAAAATCATAGAAATATATTTGTATATAGGCGATAAACTTAAAAATTTGATATTGAAAATATTTTAATCATATTTTACAACTACACACACTATAAATATATAAATGCAAAATAATTCCGTAAATAAATTTCAAGTAATAAATCAATTGCACACATGCACACAGCTGGTATGTAGATTTTTATTAAATTTATTTTTAAATTTATTTTCTGAATTATTTTACACTTATATATATAGTGTATGTAGTAAAAATATTTTCAATATATTAAAAAATTGTTAAATCGCTGAAATATATTTTTTTATCATTTTTCTATATTTTAATATATATATATATATATATATATATATATATATATATATAAAAAAATTGATATTGAAATATTTGAACTCTAATTTACTGGATGATATACTGAACATCCTTGCATTGATTATACATTACTCAACGTTCTTTCACGTTATAAGTATTTGGAGCAAATGATACAATAGCATCAATAATCAAAAAGAAATCAAGAATAATCAACATATCCCTTATATAATATATATATATATATATATATATATATATATATACGCACATATGTGCATAAGCATATATAAAATTTACAAAAAGTAGGTACTTATTAGCCTTGCTACGCTACTGCCTTCTGCTACGGAAGGCCAGAAAGCATTTTCAGGCCGTATCTCGCGAATACCGGCACGATAGAGGAACAAGGAGAACACGTAATTATCGGTCCTTGTCTCTCTACGGTGCGTCCGCGTGAGCAATGCAATAGTGTATGTACGTGTACAGACATGCACCACTACATAAAACCCGAGAATTGGTTTCTCGGCGTTGGCAACACTGAAATCGGAGTTTCGCGTTGTCACCGCGCGAGGTCTCCAACATCAATTCGGAGTTTGGCCGGCCGACCTGTCGACCCTTAAAAAATGCATCCTTTTACAAATGTTAGAAAACTACAAGAAATGTAAATTTGATGATTAAATAACAGTCATTTATTCTTTAGATAAATTAAACTGAACAAACTAAATTTAAAATATAAATACAATTAACATAAACTAAATTTTACAATCACTTGAAATTAATTAAAAATTTTATAAAATTTTGTCACTATTTACAGGATTACTATTTCTTAGGGTGCATTTTCACTTGACGCTATGACTATGGATACCAACATCAAAAGACGTCATGTGATCAAAAATAAGGATACCAATTTGTCAATTTTGGTCACGTGGCATCTTTTGACGCTGAAACCAGCATCACATGAAAATCCAGCCTTAAGGGCAACTGTGGTTGAGGTTAACCTCGATAAAATTACAAATACAAAGATGAAACACGTGGTTAATATTACATTAAAAATTTGAGAAAAAATGCCAGCCAAAATAGAAAACAAAGTACTTACATATGAAGGCAGCAATTATTTCAGATATCGTTTATTGCTATCTACATTATCTGGAAAACCAGTAAGAATTACAAATATTAGAACGAAAGATGACAATCCTGGTCTTAAAGGTTAGTTATAATTATTAAATTTAAAAATTAATATTCTTATTAATTATATTTTTATATAATTACAATTATAAGTAAAACTAATTAAAATCTATAATTGAATATGAAAATTATATTCTGATATTGTCAATTATCCTTTGTATAATTATTTGTGATATAATTAATTTTTTCTAACTCTGAAAATGTAAATATATATATATATATATATATATATATATAAAATAAAATATACTAAAATTTAAATATATTTAGTTATAACAAATTTGATCATAATGATAGATATTTTAATGTATAACAAGAATTTATTTATTTAATTGGTAAATTTATGAATGAGTACAAAAATAGTTTTAATAAATAATGATAATTTTAATTATTTATTGTGATATATACTATTTACATTAATTACATATATATTTGTTTTATAATTATGTTTAATTTGACAGAATACGAAATTAGTTTCATTCGACTATTGGATAAGATTACTAATGGCACAAAAATTGAGGTAAATGAAACTGGTACCAGTATATATTACAATCCTGGTTTATTGAATGGTGGTGAATTGGAACATGACTGTAGTTTGCAAAGAGGTATTGGATATTACTTGGAAGGAATTATAATAATTGCTCCATTTTGTAAAAATTGTGTTAATTTAAAATTTAGAGGAGTGACTGATAACACTATAGGTATTGTATAATATATTATCAAATTTGTACTTGTGTTATTAAAACAAACAACAGTAATTAATATAATATTTATTGTTACAAGATCCATCGATAGACAGAATTCAGACTGCTGGTATACCAATATTGAAAAAATTTCTAGCAGGTGATAATGAGGTTGTATTAACTATTCGTAAAAGAGGAGTAGCACCTTTAGGAGGTGGAGAAGTACATTTTAAATGCCCTATTAGTCGTAATCTTAAAACAATTCAGGTACTTTTCTGTTTTTGCATTATACAATTTGTAATATTGTATTATGTAATTTTTTTTACATATACAGATATATGCATATATATATATATATATATGTGTATATTTTCTATAGATGGAAGACAGTGGAATGGTGAAACGTATTAGAGGTACCGCATGCAGTATAAGAGTTTCTCCAACAATTGCTAATCGTATTGTTGAGTCTGCGAAAAGTGTTCTCCTCAAGTTTCTACCAGATGTATATGTTTATATAGATCATTGTAAAGGGTCGACTGGTGGAAAGTCCCCAGGTATAAATAATTTGTATAGCATATGTATTATTTTATTTTAAGTCTTACTAAAATTTGTCATTTGCAATTTGTTATTTGCTAGGTTTTGGAGTAACATTGACAGCAGACACAACTAAAGATGTATTTTTTAGTGGACAAGCATTTTCTCCATTAATGACAACAGGTTCATTGCCATGTGTACCTGAAGATCTTGGCAAAGAAGCTGCAATGAAACTTTTAGATGAAATTTATAGGTAAAAAAATCAAATTTTTGTTTAAATTATTTTCTATTTAATTTAAATTGTTATAATTATTTAAATTATTTTATAATTATGTAGGAATGGATGTGTAGATTCTTCTTTTCAAAGCATGACTGCTGCATTTATGGCACTTGGTAGAAAAGATGTTTGTAAAGTTACAATGGGACCATTAACTCCAGCAACGTAAGTAGTACACATTTTTTATATACTATATAAAACAATAAAGAAACAAAATTATAATCATGAATTTTTCAGGATACAATTTCTACGTGACTTACGTGATTTTTTTGGAATTGTATTTAAAATAGAACCGATGAAAGAAGGAGATGAAATATTATCACAAGTGCATTTAACTTGTTTAGGTGTAGGTTATACTAATATAAGTAAACGAACTTTGTAATGCCATAAATATTTTTATTGTAAATAAAATTCTTTTGTCTATATATTTTTTCTTATTTTACATATTAAATACATTTTGATATAATAATTATTTATATATCTTTGATACAAAAATAGATGTAAAATTTAAAAATTTTGTGTTAATAATTTCATAATGTAAAATTTTGTAGATGTGCTGGTTTACATGGCCATTTATGGAACGATTCAAGTTTCAATTGTTTCCATTTATTTTGATAAATTGATGACCATTGTTTCCAGTCATAATAAGTAATTCTCTTTGGATGTCTTATTTCATTATAATTATCCTGATATTTATCAAAAATTTGCAAAAAAGTTTGCAAAAACATTCGTCTACTTATAGATAAATTATTATCTTTTCTTTTTTTGTTACACCCAGTTTTCTACCAGCAGCTGCCACTTCTAATGCACTATACATAAAATTTCGGTTTTTTAAATTATATAAAAATAATGAAGCAGTATTGTATAAATTGTAATTTTACAAATATTTTTAATACCTGTTTTTTACAGCACACCATATAATGCTTGTTGGACAGGGACGTGATCTTTGTTGTCCTTTCTTATGCATAAAAGTAATTTTTGCTTGAAAAATTTTGGGCTTATCTATTTCGTTATTAAACCTTTTATATAACCCACGTTCCATGGCATCCAAAGAAAAAGGACACAAACCTCCAATCGTAATACTCTTCAACTTTATCGATGGTATTAATAATGATAGAAATGATCCTTGTAAACCAAGAATGAGCCACCTGGAGCACATATATTTGTAGTTTATAAATATCATGATAATGCATATACAATATTTGCAAACATTATTTACTTTGAAACTTACTTTGCCATTTTATCAGAACAAGACAAACTGCTTGTGGGATTTCCTCTACCTGGTTTAGTACGCAAGGGACCCACAATATGATAATTTACACCAGGCAAACGAGAATCTTGTTTCTCCTCTCCTTTTACACATTTCGCTCCTGTTCTATATATATCTCTATAATACGATTCTACAATTATATGTCCATGAGTATCCTCATCGATACGTCTGATCTTTTGCACAGACACACCATTATCGTAAGTTTCCTGTTTAGGAAAAATAGAGCAATCTCCGCAAGGCGTTTGACTTGAAAAAAAGTGAAACGATATGTTACTATTTAATTCAATTTTATTTTTGTCATTTCGTGAGAAAACCATACTCTCAGAGCTATGCAAAGTCAAATCAATCTGATCATACAAATAACGTATAAATGCACGTCTGGTCAGAACTTCAGCATGAGAGTCGCTTAATCGAGAGCCTCTCTTTTCTTGTGTATTATTCATTAATTCTGATTCTCCTAAACATTTTGTCCCAGTGGCAAGAGCTACCAGAGACAATGATCCAACAGCATCTTCTAAAATTATTCCGGATAACACAGTCCATTCGTGAACGCTGGGTTTACCCGTTTTCTTCAGAAAATTATACTTTTCTATACAAAGCTTGGCTACTCTGTCTGCAAAATCTTTCGTCATTTATTCATAAATTTAATCGTAAATATCTTTACACACAGCTTACAGCTTTTAGAGCGCGCGCGAGCGGTGTGTGTGTGTGTGTGTGTGTGTACTGTACACACACGTGTTTAAAGTTTCGCTCGCAACTCGCAAATTCGCAACGTAATACAGACTTAACTTTTAGTAAACTACAAACAATAAGAATAAAAATATGAATTAAATATTTCAAATATTGAACGTCAAGTGAAACGTGCCTTTAATTGTGTGTAGTATACACGAGTATTTTTTTTTCTTCCTCAGAAAGCAACATTCTAGATTCGAATAAAATTAGCTTTTCTTGACAAAATGTTAATGATGTTTCGGAAAGTTGTCAACAAGATGCAAGGAGCTACCTGCCAAACATTAAAATATTGTACAATCGTAGAAAATGAAACGAAAGCTGTAGGTATTACACCGATTATATCAAAGATACAATATAACGACGAAAACAATATCTACCAAAAACCTCGGCAAGTATGGTTAGAAAATTTAGATACTGTAGAAGAAAAAAAATTAGGCTTGATCACTTTACATCCACATATTTATGCGGCTGCACCTCGTATCGATATTATCCACCAGAATGTTCACTGGCAAAAAATGTATCGTTGGGTGGTGAGTATGATTATTTGTATGTGTCACAAATGGAAATAGTATTGTTTATATATGCATATAAAATTTTTATTTATAGAGTTATGCACATACGAAAACGCGTGCTGAAGTCAGAGGTGGTGGTAGGAAGCCTTGGCCTCAAAAAGGCACAGGACGTGCTCGTCATGGAAGTATACGTTCACCACTATGGAGAGGTGGTGGAGTAGCACACGGTCCTCGTTCTCCCACACCACATTTTTATATGTTACCATTTTATACTCGTGTAATGGGTCTTACAGCAACGCTATCTGTGAAACTTGCGCAAGATGATCTGCATATAGTTGATGAATTAGAAATTCCAACATCTGAACCTTCTTACATAGAACAACTAATAGAGAAGAGAAATTGGGGGCCATCGGTTCTTTTTGTAGATAGCTATGATATTATGCCTACAAATATCACACTAGCTACCGATCAGATTAAACATATTAATCTGATGCCTGTTTATGGTAAGTGTATACAATATCATATATCTTTATATTTAAACCCAAATAATTGTGCAAATCAAATTGTCTCTCATATACATATATATATATATAGATTATTAAAAATGTTTGAGTAATAGATTGCTCAGTAATTAAAATATATAATGCAGTATATACTTGTATATAAAATTTAAGAAATTTTATTGTCTGCATATATTTAGATCTGCAATTTTATTTCGAACATATATTTATCTCAAAGTTATATTCTTCTAAATTCATTAAAATGTAATATTTAAATCATATATTTTGTTGGAGCAATATACTCATTGCTAATAGTAAGAAATATAGTATTTCACGTTCTTAATATGCAATTAATATAAATTTAAATATAAAATTTTGTGCACAAGGCATTGTTTTCAAAAAAATTGTTTGAATTTTTTTTTAATTTGAGTGACTTGTAATGACTGTTCTATACATAATCAAATTCGGGCTCAATTATTAAAATACATATAAGAAAATATATATAATTTAACTTATTAAAAAAAAATTATATGTTAAAGAAATTTACTTGTTCAATTATATATATAATAATGATTATTGAAATAAATTTGGCAACATATAACTTAAATCGTATTAGAGGTTTATATCCTATAATTGTATCAATTTATTGCCATAGTCTAATGTATATTAAATTTTATACTTTTTTTTATATACACACAGGTCTAAACGTATATAGCATGCTGAAACACAACACTCTGGTACTTACAGAGAAAGCAGCCAGATTGATAGAAGAAAAATTACTTTATCAATTACATAGAACAGATTATAAAAAAATATCACGTGCATTCGAACTTAATCAAAATAAAAACTTCTTTTTAAAAACTTGTGTGTATTACTGTTTTCATAATATATATACAATTGCTCATGCACGCATATATCTTAAATATCTATACTTACAATACCTATGTATTAACAAGTGACAGTGTCATTTTTTGAAAGAGATTGCCATGTATAATTTAATTACAATTAAAAATTTAATATAATATAAAATAGTCTAATTATTGTCATATTATTCATTGTTTATCAATTTTCTATATACTTGAAAGTAATTTATCATTTCTTCTTTAATATCGGTACATATGTGAATTCTTTTGAAAGTGGCTAAAATCAAAAGTTTTTAATGAGATAACATTCCACAATAATATTTTCTTTATCATTAATATAATTTGTTATATATTTACCACAGGATGAGGATCTGTACCAAGCATTTTTTCCCGGACAGCCCATCTTACTTTTGAATGTTTTGCTTCTCCAGGGAAAGATATCTGTTTCCATTCCTGTTGATACTTTTGATAAAGAGCAACAGGATCACACTTCTTGTTAATCAATTTTTGTGCTTGTGGTTGCAATCTCCATGGTCGAATAACTATAAATAAATATGAACAAAGCTTGAAATTTGCAACACATGTATTGGTACATAATTTTAAACAAAAAAGCGTATGTATTTAAAGACATAATATAATTGCTCACATGATTTATGTCTGGAATTAATGGACGATCTTGTAGATAAGGCACTTTGCATACGAACGTTTCCAGTTGGATCTGACGCGACACTCTTTGACTCTGAGTTCATACAATTTGATAAAATAGGTTCACATATTGATTGCTCAAACATTGAAGTTACTGATTTTATTTGATCCTCTTTTAAATTGTGCTTGCATTCTTCCATCAAATAGTTATCTTTTGCTAAATATTTAGAAACATTTTGTGTGCTCTCGCTTTTTGAACATCTAATAATTGGAGATGTAGTATTAAAATAGTTTCGTTTGCAAGTCCTATCTGATTCGACTACTTGAACATCTTTGTATTTTACTGTCGATTTTTTATTATCTAACTTTATTACAGCTGCTTCGGTATCTTTTTGAATATCTTCCTTAGGGATGCATTTTATCCTGACTTTTATCAATGATTCATCGTCGAAGGAATTTGAAGATTCAAAAGGAACAATATTAACCGAAGAACAATCTGTATTCCGATGCCCATGAACTTCTTTAATCAGAGCCTGTTGCTTGCTAATTATTTTTGTTTTAATCTCTTCTTTTCGTTGTTGTCTTTCGCGTTCTTTTATCTTTCTGTAAATCTTCAAGTCTGGAAGTAAAATGATAATTTGTAACAAGAGAAATATCTCACAAACATGTATCAATTTTATTGCAATGATAATTAAATCCTAGAATACAAGTAGACAGAGGAAAGAAATTAATAAGACAAGCCGAGTCACTTACCTTTCATAAAAGCTTTTAATTGAGCCGCGGTAATGCCAACGAATCCTAATGAATTCAAAAGAACGAGAACTTCTCGTGGATCATCTTTAATTTCTGACATAACTACATCGATTTGAAGAAATTTAAAATATATATTGCACAATGTTCTTTCTTCTTCTTGAATTTCCGTTTATTTATGAAAACAACTATATGAAACGCAATATGTATATAACGCTTTTGTCAAAGAAGTATACACACTACATTCTTTTTCTTGACTGTTTCAAATAAGAGACGTTATCAAGGCTATTGCACATTTTAGTCGCAACGTTATGGCTGATATTACATTTATACGACAAAATGTCTGTCGTACATATCGATTGGTTATCAGATAGAGACTCTAAAAATGCTCTATTCGATAGCCAATCGCTAACGTCGTACGACAAATGTAATATTATCATAAGACCGTCGATAGTTCGACCAATCATATAGATATAGGCAAACTTACATGTTTTTATTGGTCGATTAGCTTACGCTTTACCAATAGAGGAATGATATCTATATATTCTTTGCTCTACGTAAATCTACGGACCTTCCTAATCTTGCTTGTATTGTGCGATAATCTTTATGGTGTCTGTCAGTATCTGTTTCAACGTGTATATAATTTCCGTGATAATTACATGTTTTATATGTTTACAATCGATAAAAGCACAACGAACACTGCAAGATAAATCAATAAATCGTAAAATTAATAACAATGGCGTTGTCAAGAGGTAAGTTAACACTTTCTACCGTGTCTATCTCTACCGGAACATGTGTCAATGCGGCATCGTATTATAGCCTAAAATAATTACGAGCTTTTTATAATAACTAATTAATTTTTATAATACTATAATTTTGCAGCACTATTAAAACGTTTAAATTCAGATGATTATCCTTTGCCAAAACGATTAAAATTAGCAGAAACTGCATTTTCTGCTACGGATTTACCACTCGTTCGCAAAGAAGACTTACTCCTGGAGTGGCTGTGTAAAATTTGTGTTGAGAATCGATATGCGTGGAAAACTTTGAATAATTGTTTAAAGTCTACTCATATTGACATTAAGGCTGCTAATGCAAAACAATGTTTGGTCGATACGCTTGTGCAGACATTAAACAATAATGTGAAAGATGTATACGAGGAAGTTCTCGAATGCTGCAGCTTAGTTCTTGCTAATAATAGTATGCGACAATATTTTACACACAAACCAGAAAGATTAGGTTTTTTAATAAAAACCGTGTTTCACAGTATATCAGAGCATTCCAGCTGTCATAATGTGACATACCAAGAATATGATCGATTACTCAAGCCATGTAGATTATTGCCTACAGAAATTTGTGCTATAATAAGCATTATTGAAAGTCTGATGCAAATGAATAAACAATTGATAACTACAAGAAGTGAACTAAGATTAATCTTCATATGTGATATTTTATATCCTATGTGCAGTTTAATTGATCACAGACATATCAATAATACAGACAAGCTCAGTGTAGTAGCGTACAAATGTATGCAGCAACTGTTACTTGGAGAAATCAAATTGATGCGAAATAAACAAACCTTGGAAAATGTTCAAACAATGTTCTCAGACTTGTTTTGTACATTATCTAAAAATGTGGAAACATTAAATTTCCAGAGTAATTTGCTAACATATGAGTTTATTTTCCATGCTGTAGTAGGCATTTACAAATCGGATGCTGTTTTACTGGATACATTTTTCAGAAATCTGATTAACTCCTCTGGAAAATATAAATTGGAAATCTTGAATGCTTTTCTCAAACTATTAAACGACGTAACACTCGATTTTGATAATACTATAGAAGATGTTACCCTGTTTGAGTATTTTCAGAAATTTATAAGTGACATTTTAACATGTGACAATATTACATGCATACATTATGGTGTACTCACGCAACTTTCATATATCAATCCACTTTTAATAGAGAGAAATATTCCAGATATCTTAAATAAGATATTGATGAAAGAACAAACTATCGATTATACAAACTTATTAATTGCAATTTTACACTCGAGTACGAAATTGAGACGTGAACAAAAGTTGATCTCACAATTGTTAATATCGTTAAAGCATCATTTGACAATGGGGACAGTGTATAGAACAAATGTGTCATTCTTTTCATACGAATTTAAAATGAAATTGAAAGAAACAATTAGCAACTTTTCCAGTTCCCAAACGATTGCAACTTTAAGAACGTTAATACATTATTTAAATACAGATTGTGTAGAATTGTTGGAATATGATACTTCGTGTAAGAATTTTTTATTTTTACTATATATGTATATTATAGTTTAGTAAAGTAACGAAATGTCTCTAGAAATAATATTAGAATGCAATTTATGTGTCTTCTTTCTTAAATAAGGGTAAAAATATATTAATATTTTGCAGGTAAAAATGTATTAATATTGCAGACAACGGTAGAATTGCTTGTTGTACTTTTTAAAGGTACACAGATTCTTGAATATACTAGAACACTTTCCACCTACGAGAAGTTTGTTAATGATTTAAACAAACTGGGAAATACTTTATCATTGTTGATAAATAAAGCATTATGTATAAGTCATGATAAAAATATTATAATAATATTATTGAGTGCTGTACAATCATTGAGCGAAATGCAGGATGCATTGAAATATTATATACCAAAAGGTGCTGATACAAAAAAACTACAGTTCCCAATTCTTGATGATGCTTGGCAACAATTAATTCAGAGAATAACTAATTTTGGAGAAGACAATTGCAAAAATATCATGGTATTTGTAGAAATATTTTGAGAATTCATTGCACAATAGATTTAGTTCTTAAAATAAAATATTTTTTAATATTACTGCAAAGCTTATATTTATCACAATTTCAGAATAAACTTATATTACATCGAATAAGATTAAATATGACAAATGAACCTATTAAGCTTCATGACTTAATAGGTGGCCTTGACTATGCTTGGAATTCCATCTTGAAATATAATACAGATATACTTCCATTATTAAGTAACAAAGAGCTATCCAAAGTAACATGTTTATTGTTTGACGATATAATGTCAAGTAAAAAGAGAGAGAATTTTCATGAATGGCTCGATTTATTAGATAATGATTGCCTTCAAGAAAATAAGCGCTTTGTATTGTGCCTTTTAAGTCATATTCTCATTCAAGTTGGACATTGTCTGTCATCAGGATGTACAAAATTAATTATAGAACACATTAATGCCGTAAGTAATATATCATGTAAGTTAATACTGATAATTTTTCAATTTTATAATTGTAACGAAATTATATCTGTCTGTCGAAATTTTCTATTATTCTAATTACATATCCTAAAAATTTTCTTTATAGAAATTGTTGATGGAAAACGAACATAACAATATGTTGAAAGTCTTGCAAATTATAAAAGAATTGATATCACAAGAGCAATATGTGCAAATGACAAATGCAACTTCTTCTAAAATAGAATTACATTTAGAAATATTGCTCCACTTACCAACGATGTATTTTAATTCTAATATAAGAATGTTAGTATTCCTGGTTGTGTATTCCATTAGTAGAGAATGTGAAAAAACTGAAGTATTGGACACATGCAATATCATCTTTTCAGGTAATTTTACTTTTGTAAATATGTGTATATAATTTTTTTATTTTTTTATTATTACTATTTACATGCAAAAATCTAAAAATACAAATTTATTCTAGAATACAATAATAAAAATAAAATAAAATGCTGATTTTCCAGATTTGTTAGAAAAAATTGGAATCGATATATTTCAGTTTATAGAACCAATAATGTTGGTAAATCAGTTGCCACAAAATAAAGCATTTTTAAAAGCTTGCGAATTCTCTCTTCGCAATGTGAAAACATATGATGCTCTCAAGAATCTCATAAAAAGTTGTACTCGACGCAAAGAAGTTATGTACAGTCTTTTAGAATGCATGGAATTGGTCAAACCAAAAATTGATACAGAGCAAAAAATTATTTTCAAAAAGGCAGAGAAAAGATTAGCCAAAGCTATTTTAAAAGTGTTACCTGAAAAAATAAACGATGCATCTGATGTAAAATATTTGACAGCAGTGTTAAAAATAACAGTATCAACTGGAAAAATGTTTGATACTTTGAAAAAATTAACTGAATTAACTCTCGAAAATATATTCATAGTAAGTATTGTAGAAGAAGAAAGTATTATTCCCATATTGTGTGTATTTCAATGTATTTGATAAAAATAAATGTTTTTTTATAGAAAGAGAGAAAGGTAATAGAAAATTTAAATAACATACATAATAATATGCTGTTGCAACAAAGTGTACAGTTGGCTATTATTGTTTTACGACATCGTAAAATGTTCAAGATCAAAGATGGGATTGTCAAAAATTTATGGTTTATAATATTGACGCATCCTTGCAAAAATTTACTTGAAGCGTTATTAGCGTCTCCTGAATCAAACGAATTTTATAAATTTTTGAGATTATTGTATGCTAAAACGGTAAAATCTCTTCTTTTTTCATTAATATGTATACATACAATAGTTAATACTATTAGACATTATTAATGATATCTATGTATTTTGTAATTTCTTATGTAGATTGATAGTTTGTTACAAGCAGATGAAACAGCATGGACAAATTTGTTTGTTATTTGGAGCGATATAATGAAGATAAACATGAGAATCAAGCGTAATAAAGCGCGTTTGGATGCAATCAACAATTTATTTGAAATGGTACTGTCGTTGGATATTCCTGACAAGTGTTGGTCAGATATATTGTGCTTAGCTCACAATATAATCAGTCACAAGTATCTATTTATTCCGGATACTACAATTGATCTTATCGTACTGATCAGTTTAAAATCGCTCATCAAAGTAAAAATTTCGTCATGCGATAATGTGCTCAACATCTGTGAAACATTGATGAAAGTCAGAATAAATTTTATAACAGACAGATTACCTAATTTATTATTGTTGTATAGGAATGTAATACATACCATTGTCCACGCATCGAAAAGCGTAACTAATAAATTTGACGAGCATCAATTTAGATGTTTTGCGTTCGACATCGAAAAGTAAGTTTAAATCTATTAATTCAAAATATATTTTATATACATTATACATTAGAATATATTGATGTCTAATTTGTTTATTAGCATATTATATTAATTTGAAAAAAAAATAATAGACTTTCTTCGATTAGACTTACAGGTTTATTGTTAAAATTGAAAAAGGATATGATTCGATTAAGTCCCTATGTGATATCTGATTTCTTACAATTATATGTGGTAACCGCTATACCATCTTATATTAAGGTAATGTCTTTACACATTGTTATTTTATTGAATAGTTTTTAATAACTTTTGTCACACTTCTGTTGCAGATGGCTTTGTATAATTCTTTATGCCAATTAATTAGTATATGTGATCAACATGGAATCGCCTTTTTATCACGTACATTACCAACATCATTGCAGGAAGTCTTCAAAGTACAATTAAATACATTTAATAAGTTTTATAAATATTCTGGCAAAGTTTAAATCTTTGTTGTTTCTCTAAAAAGGATAATTTTTGATAATAATTTTTCTTGAGAAGAATTAATCAAATATAAAAATAGATGAATATAATATATACATGTTTCATTGTATATATTTTATAAATATAGATTTATTATAAATTTACTTTTATAAGTCAGTTCACCTATATACATACACCACCACATAAAAAGCGTACATTTTTGTAAAATAAATTTGAAAAATAAAAAGAAAACAATAAAAGGAGTATCAAATGTGAATTACCTCTTATTCAATTTCTAATAAAATATATGTATAGTGATAACTTAATAATTTTTATTTAATAAAATTTTATATATATCTATATATAGTTTCTTATTTGCTACTGGTGCATAAAAAATTCGTGATAGAAACGATTCAAAACGAAATTTTATAAAAGAGTATAAATAAGTAACTATATATATACACTCGCTAGAGAAAAAGCATGTACATATATATAGTATAATTTGTATTCTGAATCTATCATGAGGATTAGGTTACCTCGAGGATTGACTAAAGATCAATTTTACGTTGTATTAATTTTAGGAACAGTCACCGGTTTCTATAACTGGAAAAAACCGTTACAGGAACATTTAAAGGAGCAATTTGAAGAGGAAAATAAGTTAAATGAGGTAAGCAAGTAACTCGATAAAATTTGCGTCTAGTCATAACCTATATACGCCGGGTTTATGTGATAATCGAGTAATATTTTGCAATTATCTAATATGATTTTTAATCAAATTAGAATTCATAATTATAGCAGTTAATACATCAATATTATTTTATAAAAAAGTGATTAAGATTAAGTAATATAAAAAAAATTTATTTATATTTTACTGGCGACCTTTGAGACAACTATTATTTATTAAGTAATATGTTTAGAAAATGCTTCATCTTTCAGAATAAATTATATATTTTTCTTTGTATTTAAGATTTTTAAGATAAACATTGTAAACAAATATTTTACAGCCTACCAGTAAAAACCAAGAATCTGTTAATTCAGAAATTTAGCACACTTGGACTTGTAGTAATCAGTGGAGCCTTGATTATAACATGTGTTCGGTAAGCATATTTTGTTGCATATTAGATACAATATTATACTCGTACAACAAATGACACAAATATATCAAATTTAAGTTGAATTTATTTTGACAGAATTTATGTACGGCCATGGTATTTGAAACGAAGATCTGCACAAGCAGAAGAACATGCAAATATTGTTTACGAGCTACAGAAGAAAAAAATTTTACAAGAACAAAATGAGAGTTGAGATCGAATTAATATTGTTTTAATATTCTATATGATCCATTCGTTGTATTAGAATTTTTATTTAAATAAAAAATGTGTAAATAGTATGGTACAATAAAATCTTTATTGTTCCAATAGGATTATTACATAATTTATATCAGAGAATTGATGCGACTATTGTGATCTATTCCTCAAATTTGTTTCTGTAGAAAGGAACATATTGCAATACTGCTTTCCAATCAGTAAAATACAACAATGCTAGTGATGCACCAGCTCCATAGGTTGCTACAGTTGGAAACCTAAAAAAATGTTACATAAAGAGAAAAGTGTATCTCTTCAAGCATATATATTTATATATATATATATATCTTCAACCTAGAAACAAAATACTGAAAATTGTAATAAACAAATATTTTCTTTTATCATATGCCCATTATCTCATGTCATATTTTATTATGTATTATAAAACTTGGAAAAATTATTAAATTAACTACTGACACCATTGTCAGTGTCAAAAAATGTATTATATCTTAGTGCCAAAAGAATAACTCACCACTTTCCAGCTAATTCGATGTGTTTTGGACCCAATCGAAGGGCCATTTTTATCAAATATCACTCGATTCGAGCAATAATCACAGAGAGAAAAATAAATTTATTTTTATGCAAATATATATCTCTATAAAGAGAATAAACTCCGAAAAGAGAGAGAGCGAGAGAAGGGTAAGTTTGTGTAGAAAGCAACTTAGTTCAAGAATAATTGCTATAGAGTACGCTGTCATCGCTTCCGGCTTTTGAAAATTTTGAAAAATCGGTCACATCTACATAAATCTTTGTATGAACATTCTGATTGAAAAATTCAACAAGAAAATATAATTTAAAAATATAACAAAATAAGTATAATTATTAACAATTATTATAACTATAATAAACTATGTACAACACTTTTAATATTGGAATAATTTTAATATTTGATAATAATATATATAAATAAATTATTGTATTTCTTTTTATGATTTAATACGATTTTCCTAATATTGCTTTTGTGAAAAAAAGAATATTAAACAAATTTAAGCAAAGGAATACACAAGCATTCCGTCTTTGCTCAATACGACTTTTGAAATAAGCGCGTGGGTTTGGCGCCATTTTTTCTTACGAACACGTGGCCGGCTCTCTTATTCTCGTTATCCTCTCCCTCTCACCTCTCATTGAGTTGAGAAAGCGTACGTACAGCCTACGACGTACAGCATATCACGGATCGCGGAGTATTTGTGAGCATTCCCCATTAAAATATTTTTCTTGTTTTGTTTACACATTGTAAATTCTCGGTTAGCTCTTTTGAAAATCGAATGCGTCCGTTCTGCTAACGGGGATTTATTTTCGGCAAAATCTACTTGTTCGTTCTCCTCAACAATGGCAGATATGTCAACAAATGTGGCCATTACGCGAAAAATGTCTTTCGGTATCAACGGCAAACTCAACGGTGTCGAAAGCAAGACGCCCTTTTTAATAGGCGTCTCCGGCGGCACCGCAAGCGGAAAAGTAAGTACACGTGTAATTAATGTACATACATATCAATCGAATCGATCCTTACAAAAATAGCAGTTAAAAATCGAGTATTGATTTATCTTTTAAGGATTTTTTTTCTATTTTTTATTTTAATATTTAATTTTTTCTCGTTAGTTTACATATTGATATAAACAAAAATGTTTTTTCTCGTTTCTTTGGCTCTATTGCCCGACTTAGAAAACAGCATATTTATATTCTTTATATTGAGAGCCGATAAAAATATTTATTTCTGAAAAATGTTTTTTAATCAGAAAGTGTTTCTAATAAGAATTTGATAAAATTTTTTTAACTTTTGCACAAGACTGGTGTGCTATTTTTGTGCTAATTATTATAAACTTTGCAAGTGGTAATTTATACCCTTTAGACTTTAAACAATATTGTAAAGTTTAAAAGCTCTTACAACAGTGCAACTTTATTTTGAAATATAAATGACAAATTCAATTATTTTAAGAAAAAATAAACGTTTTTACTTTATATGAAATACAAAGATTTAGTTAATATAATAATTAATTAATCAGACTTTCTGTGGCATTAAGTTAAAAGCAATTACTATAAATAACTTGGGTTGTATAATGATAACAATCTTTGATTGTTTCAGTCTACAGTATGCAAGCGCATAATGGAGAAATTAGGACAAGTCGATATGGATCACCAACAGCGTCGGGTTGTTTGTATATCGCAAGACAGTTTTTATCGCAATCTAACACCTGCCGAGAAATTAAAAGCTGAGAAAGGACAGTATAATTTTGATCATCCTGATGCATTTGATGATGATCTAATCTTACAAATACTGCAAGATATACTTGCTGGAGTCAAGTGTGAAATACCAACTTATGATTATAGGACAAACAGTTTGTATGTATTGTTTTAATATCTAATTGATTTATATTTGTTCCTAAAACTTCTACAACATAACAATTTATTTATAGAAATAGAAAATTACTAATAGAAATAAAGAAATTATTTACAAAAATAATGCAAATATAAAGATTGAAAATTTGTTTATATAAAATAAATTTTAGATTAATTATAAAGATTAAGTTTTTGATTAAAGATGATTTGTATGGATTTATTGTAGAATGAAGGATCAAGTTACTACAATATATCCTGCTGATGTGGTGCTGTTTGAAGGAATACTGGTATTTTACTTCCCTAAAATCCGTGATTTATTTCACATGAAATTGTTTGTAGACACTGATTCTGATACCAGGCTTGCAAGGAGAGGTAATTTTTTATGATAATAATATATAATTTGATTTTCTAGTGCTTCTATCTTCTATTTTAATTTTTTTAGTGCCGAGGGATATAAAAGAACGTGGGAGGGATTTGGATTATGTCCTAAATCAATACATGAACTTTGTAAAACCAGCTTTCGAAGAGTTCTGCTTACCAACGAAAAAATTTGCAGATGTTATAATACCAAGAGGAGCAGATAATACAGGTAATACATATTATTACACATACACAATATATTTGGAATTTTTTGTAGCTTACTATTAATTTGTTTGGTTTCTTTGTGAATTTGTTAGATATAAAAATATTACAAATTTTTTGTTAATTTATTTTACTGAAGCACTTATATGTTTTGTTTGTTGTAAGATTAATCAGATATTAATTTTTTTAACTTTCTATCAGAAAATATAATATAAAATATTTATTTTTTATTATTATTGCTTATAAAATATATTTACGATTTATACAAAATTTAAACTAACTAAATTTAAACTCACTCTTTGCAACTACAGATTTTAAATAAAGATTGAAAAATATATAGATTTTATAAAAAAAAATTAATAGTTTGAGTTAAAAGCAATAAAAATGGCTATTTTTTAATGACTTGGGTAGTCTAAATTGCCTAATCTGATAAACTACAAGAGTTTATTCTTTTTAAGAAATTATTAATTCCAATTATATTTTTGACTTTCGTGTATATAATTTAAATGTATGAAAATATTAAAGAAGAAAATCATACTTTAATCTTTGCAAAAAAGTTACAAGAAAGAATGTTCTATACTTTTAAATTACTAATTAATTTTTTTACATTTATTTTTTTTGCAACAGTATATTTATAGTAAAATAACTAAACAATAATTTAAAATTCAAATGTAATAAATAATAGTAATAATCCCCCTCTCCAACACACATAGAGTTTAATTTAAGAAATTTTAAATCAGATTAATGATAATCTGAATAATGATAAAAAATAGAAATGTGTATGCAATGATGATATAGCTACTGTAATTTTCTAGAATGTACAATTATATATATAAAACTTGGATGCACATGCAATTCTTTACATATAAATTGTTAATGACAAACTATGTAGCTGAGTTTTATACATATAATTTACACAAATTTATTTTTATTTAATCCTATTTTTTATATTCATTAGTATCATTTATTCAGCCTTTTATATACAGTATTATCTCACTTCATGCACCTTATTTGGGACAATTCGCTATTATCAAGTGTAAAAGCAGCAGGGGAATCTATATTTTTTAATCCCATAAATCTTGGTGATTTATTCAAGACAAAAGAGAAACGATGGAGAGAACAAATGAGAGAAACAGAATATGAACAAATAATTTTTGACATCAAAGATCGAATGTCAAATAAAATTAATTGTATCAGAAGAACTTACTCATTTGATACACATTGGATAACTCAGTGTTATAAAGTGAAAAGAAAAAATGCTGAAATAATATTGTTGTGACTGAGATAATACTGTATGTACATACCTCATGGGTGCTGCCTGGTATGGCGTGGTTGTGGATGTCAGACCTACACCTACTTAAACTCTAAGCAAAAGCTTGAAAGAAGAGAAGTATCTCATGGGAATCCTATATGGTCTGGTTGTTGTATGTTTGCAGTGGCAATAGACCTAATAGTGCACCACATCTGGGATATTTTGCGTTTGAAAAAGGCCGAAAACTCATCCGGGCAGCATCCATTCTTCTACCAGCATAGGCGTACCTCGGCCTCATCCGACACACTCAGCAGATGACTTAAGCATGATAAGCTTACTCTGTCAAGCACTGCATTTTTTTCTACACCATATCCTTATGTATGACTGAATACACAATACTGCTATTTTTTTCTTTCTAAATACTCCGGTAAAAATAATGTCTGCTTTTCAGTGCAGAAAAATTCGAATATTTCTATAATTTAACAAATAGATCAATAAATACATGACATAAGTCATAAGTTGTTAACGAAATAAAAGAAGAAACAAATTAATGTAATAAATTTATCATAATAATGAAACATCTATCGCCTTGCAACAAATAATCAATTTTTATAAATAACAGTATTTATATTTAATTATATATTTAGAGATATATTTCTATCGTGTTATATGTTCGCAACAAACTTGTACGTAATTATTATCGATTAAGTATGTTTTTTTTATTAATCTTAGTTTTTAAAAACATTGAAAACAGACATTGTCTTTACATGATTTTTGAGAAGTTATATTTTATTCTTACATAGTGGAGAGAATGGCTTTTTACATGTTTTATCTTGTTTGAACATTTTTATACGAATTTAAATTTTGAATTATAACTCATAAATCAAAGAAATGCATGAAATCGTATATTCAATGAAATACGTATAAATTAGGATTAATTTACACCAATTGACACCACAATGAAAACAATTTCTTTAACTATTTTCCAACATTGAGAATTCGATTTTAACATTTTTCAATATATATCTTTCTATTTTTTCCTATTTCAATATATTCTAGCAGTACTTTGAATCCTTTATACTATTATTTATTTTATTAAGAATAATACAATATTTCCAACATTTTTATACAAATTATAGTAATGTATTTAAAGAATGTGTGCAATAATCGTGAAGAAAAGACAAAAGATATGACAGAAACAGAGCTTTGCTTTAAAAATATATCTTTTATTTCCCTAGAGAAGAGGGATAAAGGTAAAAAAAATCGTATAAAGCAGAATTAAAAATTTTTTTAAATAATTTTTTAATCTCAAAGATTAGAAATTCAATATTCCTTATAACAAATTCTTATATCAATTATTTTTAACTTGATCACACTGCGAATAAGTTATTTAATATTACATACATCTATGATCACTCAAGTTTCTTGATAATCACTTCAAGTATAATGCAAAAAAAGAATATATATGTATATATGTAAATTGTACATATATTTATATATGCATAATACTTGAGGTATTTATATACATATATATATCTATATATGTAATGTGTATGTATGTTGTGTGATTGTGCCTGTGATTTTTTTTCCTATATAAATATAGGCATTACTTTAAGTCTTTTAGTTATACATATATTTTAGACTTTTTATAAAAGTTTTACTTCTAATAATCAACATATTTTGCATTTTTGCATAATATTTACAATTAATCATATAAGTATATACAAGTATTCTTTATAGAGCATAATTATTTGAGTCAATTTATCCAGTTTCATTTGTTCATGTATCTCGAAAAATATTCGTCTATATCGCACTTTATAATAATGATTCTTGTACATATAAACATACAAGATATGCCAAAACTGTTAGTTCCTTTCAATAGTATTTTCTGTAAGAAATCTCAAAGCTAGAGCTTTAATGTAACTCTCATAATAGAACTGTACAATTTGCACAACTTTCTCTACAGCTTTTAAGTCTTTAGCTATTAAGTCTGAGAAATGCAATCTCTTATGTGTTTCTTTGTTATGTGTATGTTTATTTGTTAACTTAAAATTTTTGCTTTTTAATTATATCTACACAATTGATTACGTTCACATTGAGATGATATCAATTCTTCTGCATATTTACAGTCAACAGAGTTCTGGCAAATCTAATTCTATTGCACATTGTTAATTGAAAAAAAGAAAAAAAATTTGTATTTGCAAGATGGTATAATGAACACAAGTGTCTTATGCATAATAAACTACATGTAATCATAATGCGATTACAATTGCTACCTAAGATATCAATAATTAATAATCCAGATATCTATAAACACTTTGATATATTATTTCAAGATGTACAATGATATATTGCCAATAAACGAATTTATTACTCCCCGTATATATCATGCGCATTACTATTTACACACTGATATTACGTGATCTGTTGCAGTGGCGATAGATCTGATAGTGCAGCACATAAGAGACTTCTTAAGCAACCGTGGTAGGGAAATGTTGGAACCTGAAAGTCCAATAAACAGGATAGAGGGATTGTTCAAGAGGCCGCATTAATTTTTAACATTTTAATGCGCTTCACAGAGATCTGTGGATCCAATCGTGTTTTGCTTCTTTTCGCGATACGGATCTTTTTTCTCATATGTATATAATCTGTTAATTATGCAGAAAATAAGAAATTTCAAGATCAATGTTATTAGAAATTTTTATAGTTTTGGTACTTAGAAGCGTTTGCATTTTGCAGTGATATTTGAATTAAAATAATGAGTTAATTATTTCAATCGTGAGAGTGCTTATACATAAATAGATGTGTATAGAGAACACAGGATATGATCAAAATGTGTAGCAAAGCTGCAAGAACAAATTACATTTTGTAGCAGGATACAAAGAATTTAAATTTACCTAACAGAATAAATTCCTGTCCGAGTCTTTCGGTTTATTAATGTATCTACAATTTGCTTTGCCACTTTTGAATTACATCCTGTATTTGTAAATGTTGAAAAGCATTAATATCAAATGAAAGATACTGTTGCGCACAGCACAGTTGTCTATATTAATTTGTAGAATATTAATTAGAGATTATTAAAATATATAGCAATATTTATGAAGGGCTACACAATGTAAAATGGAAATTATTTTCCTCTTGTTGATGTTTACGATATAATTATTTAATATTTTATACAATTAATCCTTTATTGTTTAAATGTATATTAATATGTACATAATATATTTAGGCATTAAAAAAAGAAAATATAAAGTTTAATGATTACATTATGAAAACAGCTTTCTCTTCATGTACGAGTATGATATTATTTTACACTTATTATAAAAATTATTGATAATAGAGTTCTAAATTCATGCCATCGTGTATTTCATCTGAAATAGCGCAATTAAGGAAAAGATAACGTTACATAAAACAATTTACTTGGTTTAAAATTATAATAAATGTAATAAATTTAGTGTACGTTACATGACACACACATGATTTGAATTTTAACACAGTAAAGGATACAATCCTGCAGCTTGATGTGATCTTTAAAAATAGTGTACCACTTCTTCAACACAATCTTCTCCCAATGCGTCCCCGTTTGAGCGGCAATCAATTTTTTCAGATCCCCTATAGTATCATCCGGATTGCATTTTACTCTAACCTTTTTACCGAGACGGTCGTTGCATGTTATCTCTAACATTTTCTATCGTACAAGGAGTTTGATAACACGCTGCAACAGAATCAACTTTTATTTACACTCTTGATTAATATCAAAATATTGGACACGTGTTTATCTAATGTAATTGAAATAGACAGGCTTTCACCTGTTGGCGCACTTACTTTTGCTACAAACTAAATTTGCGCGGTTCCAAATTTTCGCCAGATTTTGCGTTTTTGATATTGGAGGTTAACAATAAGTATAGCAAAAAACAAAACTCGATCGATTATCCTCGCTTCACAGTCGATAATGAAGATATCTTTATTTAAACCTAGAATCTTCTGCACTTGAGAGGAGAAAGAATCCGAGTGTAAACAAAAAGAACATATCTATCATCATCATCATCAGCTTGTCGGAGTCGCGGTCGCGAGACGATATCTCTCCCTTGACAATGCCATGTTGCTATGTTATTACAGAGAAGATATCGGAAGGCGTGGTGGTTCGCTACAATAAACTTAAACGCTGTCGTGTGGCGAATAACGTTCGGTGCAGCAGGTTATTCGTATGAGATAGTGCACGCTAGATTGCAGATTCCATGGCAAAACCGGAGCGATTACGCTTCACGATTCTGGAAGACTTGATACTTTTACGGGAAGTCTTGCGACAGAATCCGTACGAGGAAAGTGACAGGTGGAAGGCCGTTGCCCAGCATGTCGTGAACGCGACGCAAAAGAACTTCAGTCTACGTTGCGTCAAGGAACACGTTGATCATCTGTTAAAAATTTGGTCGAGAGAAGGCCACACGCACTTGAGAAAGTAAGCAAGCAATTAATAATTTTAAATATAATACATTAATGCAATTTTTTATTCGCTACTTTTCATTGAGACACTTATTCTACATGTTGATTTACAGATCGGGAACTGAGGAACAGTATAATGAAAAAGAGCGACTTTTGCAGCAAGTACAAGACTTGCAAAGAGAATTCAGATGCATCAATGTACAAAAATCGAGAGCGCAGACAAGAGAGGTAACCTTGGAGAACATTTCTGATACTTTAGAGGTAATAATACAGGAACCAACAATGACAACATGCATACCTTCGTGTATCCCATCTTCGACATTGTTACCAATTGCTTTACCATCACCAACTTCATCATCTTCGTCATCGTCGTCGATTCTGCTGACCTCAGTGAGCCCATTGCGATCGCCAGCCACATCGCCATCGAGAACAGGTGGTCCCATAAGGAATAAAATGCGTCACGACACAGTGAAGAAGTCAACGTTACAATTTCTACAAGAAAGACATAAAAAAGAGGTGGAATTTCAAGAAAAACAATTTCATTTAGAGGAGAGGAGAATTCAACTTGAGGAAGAAAAGTTTAGAATGGAAAAAAAGGAACGCGAGGCGAGACTTGAATTAGAAATTGAAGAGAGGAGACAAAGAATTTCTGTATCTAAACAGAAACAAGAGATTCTAGAAATATTATTACAATTAATACATAAACCTTGATTATTTTTGTAAGCGATAGTTTTTCTTTGTTTTATTGGTTTATAAATAAAATTATTGTTAAAAAAATATAAAGAAAGAAAAAAATGCATGTCTTCTGATTTAAAAAGTTATATATATATATATATATATAAAGTTAAGTCTTTTTATTAAAATAAAAGATTCAACATTACAAGATAGATAATAATAATGTAATGCCCTGATATATAAAAAACTGAATTTTTAGACAAATCTTTTAAACAAAAGTTGCAGAGCTTTGAATAGTGCAGCATTGAATATTTATATTTTGATCTTTGATCTTTGTCACTTTTGTGAAAGTCATGCGAAGGTCATTTTAAATTTTTTAAACAGGTATGTATAATATATACCTGTTTATTTTATATATATATATATACAGATATAGGTATTCTTGTCGACATTATCAAAATCACAGATTAATAGACAGATCGCCAAAGGTCTGGATGAAGGAGAGACCAGCATTTCTCACTGATTTCAGCGCCATATCGTAGTAGTGGTCAATGCAGTAACTATTAATACGTTCCCAAGATAAGAGCGTCTCATGCTCATGAACTCGTCCGGCGGCATGTACGAGATTTATCTTTTCGTAGCGTTCGCGTATTTCGGAAAGGACAGAATTTTATGATGTTATAAATAAATAAAATTTTAACATGACCTATTATAATTATTTTTTAATAAATGTTTCATTATTATTATCATCTAAGTCTAAGTCGTTTAATTAATTTTTAGTTTTTTAATAATTAATTTAATTTATTCTAATCATTTTAATATGTGAAAATTACTAATACGTATACGTTTTATAATGAATTAATATATTTCGAGAGTCGAATTATATATTTTTAATAATATAAAAGTGTTCAAAAATTATATTTGACTTTTAATTTTAATTATTTTAGCAAAGAGTTCCGAAATCTCTTACACACATAATAGGGATTTTGTTCATCCATATAATTCGCAATTAAGTATATATGTTAATTATTAATTTTAATAAAATACAAAATTAAAATTAAAGGTCAAATATAATTTTTGAACATAAATATATTTAATTCGTTATAAAACGTATACCCGTGATAGTATTTTTCTCGTACAAAAATAACTAGAACAAATTAAATTACTCATAAAAAAATTAAAAAATAATTAAATAATTTATATTATATATGATAATAATAAAACATTTTATAAAAAAACAGATTCAATAAATATAAGTATATATATAACATGTACTTATATTTATTGAATCTGTTTTTTAATAAAATGTTTTATAAGCTTAGAAAACTTGACTTTGACGTAACTAGCAAATTTTATTTAATTATTTCACGACGGTTTGACGTAATAAAATGTTTTATTATTATTATATAAAATATAAGTTTAAATTCTTTAATTAATTTTTAATCTTTTATGATTAATTTAATTTACTCTAATTATTTTTGTACGAGAAAAATACTATCATGGGTATACGTTTTATAATTAATTTAATATATTTGTGTTTAAAAATTATATTTGACCTTTAATTTTATTTTTATTTTATTAAAATTAATAATTAACATATATACTTAATTGCGAATTATATGGATGAAAAAAATCCCCATTATGTGTGTAAGAGATTTCGGAACTCTTTGCTATAAAATAATTAAAATTAAAAGTCAAATATAATTTTTGAACACTTTTATATTATTAAGAATATATAATTCGGTTCCCGAAATATATTAATTCATTATAAAACGTATACGTGATATTATTTTTCTCATATAAAAATGACTAGAATAAATTAAATTAATTATTAAAAAACTAAAAAGTAATTAAACGACTTAGACTTAGATGATAATAATAATGAAACATTTTATTAAAAAAAGATTCAATAACTAGTAGGTCAGGTTATAATTTTTTATTTATTTATTTATAACATTATGAGCTATTAAGCTCATCATCTCGTTCGCTCTCTGTCTTGCTTTCATTCGGCAAGTCACAAACGATATATGATACTCGTATGTTCCTACTTCAACTCTCGAGAATCTGAAACAAACGAAACTCGTGTCCAATATACAGGGTGTCCGGTAACTAACAGACCAATGATTACAAATGGATTCTTTGGTCAATTTGGGAACGATTTTTCCTCAGCGAAAATGTCGAAAAAGGTCATCATTTTTTACAACTTTCCAATCTTTGTCATTATGTATCTTTATAACTAAGCCTTAAATTAAAATTTTATTATAGTAAACTCTACCTGAAATTAACTGAAGAATGTAATTATGTTAGACTTTTAACTCCAAAACGTTTAGTTTTCAAAAAACCTATTTTTTTCAATCGCTTATAACTCGAAAATTATTGACTTCTCAACATTTTTGCTAAGGAAAAATCGTCTCCAAATTGGCCAGAGAATCCGCCCTTAATCATTGGTCCGTTAGTTACCGGACACCTTGTATATATTATATAAAAGTGTATAGCACGTCAGAAGCTTGTGAGCTTACAGCGATAAGTAAAAACAATTGCGTATTTATTTCATTGCGTTTATCTGTTTAAACGCGCGCTTTAATTTTTCCAACGTTTTTGCCTGTTTATATTTTAAAGGTCCTCTCTTCTAAAAATCTTGTTTTAAAGATCCTCTCCGCGAGCAAAATTCGAAAACATAAATTATTTAATATTTTTACTTTATTATTTGTAAATCCTCGGTAATTTCAAAATTTTTCTATTTGAAAATTATTAATTTTCTATTGCCAATTAATTTTATCACAGACTTTACTCTTACTCCCATTGCACTTTCGTTTGCGGTTTTCAGTATACGATTTTTTATCGTAGTTACTGAAAATTATTATTGTGAATTATACTTGTGCAGTGATTTGAAGAATTTACAATTTCGTTGAAATTGTTGATTTTTCAAAAAAATTACGAGATTCGCGGAAATTGCGTGCTTTCTTGGCATTTTCCGTTCGCGGCAGGCGGTTTATTTTTGATTGTTGCAAGTGTTTTTGTTTTTTTTTTTATTAAAATAGATAATAATAATGTGAAATAAATCACGATATTTGACAGATGTGCATATATATAGAAATTGTAATAATAATAATATTATATCATAAAATTGTAAATTGTTTCAATTTTTTATAGACTGCGATAAAAGATTTTACATTTGGATAAGAAACTGCGGTAAGTAAAAATATAAAATTCTTGAAAACGTAAAAATATTTGATAACGTAAAAAGGTGAACTTTGAAAAATAAGGAACTTAAAAATTGCACTAATAAATGGGCTATATGTGAGCCGTGCGCGGATGTAAGGTGTGTTATATCGAAATTTAATTAATAGAATTGAGAATTAATCCCAATTTTAAGTCTTACAAATGTCCAAGCTAATTTTTTGTACCTCGTGTACATTTTTGAAAGTTATATCGAAAAATTAAATTTCAATATGCGTCTTACATCTCACATTTCGCATACGGCTCACATATAGCCTATTTATCTCTTATACTTTATTTCAACCCTTATAGAAATTTATTACTAGTAACGCCAATTTATCACTTATTTCGAGTAATTAATCACTTTTATTTCGAATACTTAAATTACTGTATATTATAGTATTTTAAATACTCAAAATAAGTGATTAATTGGCGTAGTGATAAATTTCTACAAGAGAATAAGGAGCCTTTAAATTCTTAATGTAAAAAATTTCAAGTAATTTTCTTTAATAAAATTTAATTAAAAAATTTAATTAAAAAATTTTTGAACACTGTGTTATATCACATTTAAAATCGTGATTATTTCAATAAAAAAACATTTTATGTGTAAAAAATATATTTTTTATATTTAATAAATTTTATATATATATATGCATATATGTAAAATATCTCTCTCTCTCTCTCTCTCTCTCTCTCTCTCTCTCTCTCACACACACACACACACACACACAACGGGGGCCAAATCTCTCAAATTGGTCTCATGATCAATTAGCCTGGATTCGCACCAGGGGCAAAGTCTGTTGGTAATGTCAAACGAATTTAGCCTGGACTTGCACCAGGGGCAAAGTCTTTTGGTCGAGTCTACGAAATTTAGCACGGACTCGAACCAGGGGCAAAGTCTTTTGGTTCAAGTCTACGAAATTTAGCACGGACTCGAACCAGGGGCAAAGTGTGTCGGTAAGGGGCAAAGTCTATCGCACGAAGATGGCGGTCTCTTCTTTAGGCAGGCCTTTGGCGATCTGTCTATTAATCTGTGTCAAAATTAAATATATATAATAAAATTCTCTATCATTAAAAATTTCCTAAATTATGTACCGTCGATAAAATATAACCACAAAATATCACTACGAAATTCTGATTTCTACATAGCATATAACACCACAGATTAATAGACAGATCGCCAAAGGCCTGCCTAAAGAAGAGACCGCCATCTTCGTGCGATAGACTTTGCCCCTTACCGACACACTTTGCCCCTGGTTCGAGTCCGTGCTAAATTTCGTAGACTTGAACCAAAAGACTTTGCCCCTGGTTCGAGTCCGTGCTAAATTTCGTAGACTCGACCAAAAGACTTTGCCCCTGGTGCAAGTCCAGGCTAAATTCGTTTGACATTACCAACAGACTTTGCCCCTGGTGCGAATCCAGGCTAATTGATCATGAGACCAATTTGAGAGATTTGGCCCCCGTTGTGTGTGTGTGTGTGTGTGTGTGTGTGTGAGAGAGAGAGAGAGAGAGAGAGAGAGAGAATATTTTACATATATGCATATATATATATAAAATTTATTAAATATAAAAAATATATTTTTTACACATAAAATGTTTTTTTATTGAAATAATCACGATTTTAAATGTGATATAACACAGTGTTCAAAAATTTTTAATTAAATTTTTTAATTAAATTTTATTAAAGAAAATTACTTGAAATTTTTTACATTAAGAATTTAAAGGCTCCTTATTCTCTTGTAGAAATTTATCACTACGCCAATTAATCACTTATTTCGAGTATTTAAAATACTATAATATACAGTAATTTAAGTATTCGAAATAAAAGTGATTAATTACTCGAAATAAGTGATA